AACCAGTATCAATATGCAGTAAAGATAAGCATACTTTAAATTTTCCTACAAGTAGAAAATGATTCAAAGTAGTGCAATCTGGGTCATAGCATTAGCCCAACAAGTGATATGGGAACCACTTAAGCCCACAGTTTAAAACATCACGGCAATGCAAATTACAATAACTTCGTTCATTAAACTCCTCCACTTTTATTCAATGTTTCAACCATTCACCCTCAACATAAAATGCAAAACTCAACTCCACGGCAAGAATGAGAAATTCTGATGCCAAACATAATAAAAGGAACACAGTATACACCCATTTCCCAATCTTAAATACAAATTACAATAATATTAGAATTCCCTTCCTCACTACTAATCAAGCCAACCCATTTCCTTTTCAATTTCCTTCCTTGCTCCCTTTTCCCTTGTGGAATATCACGTTCAATGTAATCTCGACGTCTTGTTCATTAATAATTCGAGCTAGCATTTAAAACATGCTTGACAAATCAGTCCTCTTTGGCTGTAGGATTCACCACTTGATTGATGATACTTGATTCCTCGCTTTATTCTCCTAGTACCCATTTGTAAAATCCAAAGTCATTAGTGATACTTAACAAATCATCGACGTCCTCCTTGGCCATAGGATTCACCATTTGATTGATGATACTTGATTCACCACTTGATTCTCCTAGTACGACCCATTCCTTTTTAGGTGTCAGTAATCACCGTCAGTTGAATAATCACCCTTTATTACAAGTACTCTTCTCAACCTCAAAACATGTTAGAAATCCATGTGTACACCATGGACATCAATGTTTTCTTGAGCATTCTCCGAAGGAGTGCCCCCATCAAACTCCAATATTCCTTCCTCCTATTCTGAGATGCAAAACAACCACATATAACGAATGTCAATAATACATGAACTAAGAAAATCATAGAATTAGTGACTGGATTTGGAATACTCATTCCATTGTGTGACACCCCCTCAGTATATATTTATGCATCGTTACACACATCTTTATTAATCTAATCGGTTATTAACCCTAGTTCTTTTTAACTGCATTGACTAATAGATTTCATATTTTTAATTAATTACTGTATAGTTTTGTCTCTAAATTCAATTATATTTTTTAATATCCTGTTGATTGGATCATTGATTTGCGTGTGATATTGAATTTCTTTTTTGATCCATGATCCGTTATTAATTAATGTGAATTTGTGCCTTCTATGGGGTAATTGGGTGCAATATATGGTTAAATATGATGTGATTTATTTTTTCCATTTTACCGTTATATTATGAAAATATTTATGACATTAGATAATATATCGTTATTGTTGTTGTAATAACAATTTTTTTCTCTAAAGGTTGTGAGCCTTGTACAAAGTGAAAAAGTGTGTAAAATTTAACCCTCTTTGCAGATAAGAAGTTTATTTCCTATTTTATGTGAAATTAAATTCATTATGAGTGTGAAGTGTATTTACCAAACACATGTAATTGAAAGAAATCTTCTCCCACTATAGCAATATTGTAGAATATAAACAAAACACTTGGTTTGATTTTGTACGTGTGGAATGGAATATTTAGGAAAGCAGTTAAAGGTCAAACAAGTAAGTCAAATACCATACCGATTACAATTGCATCATTAGAAAGAAGTTTCTTCAACTTGAAATTAATTAAGATTTATCTCTGATCAACTTTGTCAAAGCAAAGATTGAATAGATTGACCATGTTATTTATTAAAAAAGAAATGGTTGAACAACTCGACTATTCAAAATTGATTAATATTTTTGTCTTTAAGACAAAGATTTATCTCCGATCAACTTTGTCACAACAAAAATTAAATGGATTAACCATGTTGATATTGAAAAAGCAATGGAAGAACAACTCAATTATTCAAAATTGATTAATATTTTTGTCTTTAAGACTGCATGACAAGTTGTATTTAAGTTAACAAATTTAGTTCCATAAACCTCTTATAAATGAAAAAAAATTGATTACTAACTACGATTTAGGAATTCAAATTTTGAAATTCGCTTCAAGCCCCCCAAAACACAGGTACGACCCTGACATAAATGTTTATTTGCAATTAGGCATCGATAATTATGTTATATACATCTAGGTCTAAGTTTTATAACATAATTAACTCCCCCGTTACCTTTATAAACTTGAAAGAGGTGTGTTCTTCAGTGGTGGTTTGGCACCGACTAGAGAAGGAGAACAGTGTGGTGGTGGTTTCGTGGAGGGGGGAAGTGAACAACAGGGCTCGCTTCCTTTAAATCTCGGTTGGTATGTTTGGGTAATGCTTCTGCGGTACTTTTTTCACTTGTTTTGCATCGGTCAGGGGCAGAGATAAGTCTAGCTATTTTGTCTCGCTCTTGTGAATGAAGGCAATGGCTTTGGGGACGGTGTCCAGGGTTTGAATTCAATTTAGGGGAAAATGGACGCGATATAAGATTTCAATTTGGCGGTTCAGTTTTTTTTTTTCATTGCCACGTCACCCTGTGAACACATCCTATATGTACATCGCGACCAATATTTTTGGTGAATTTAAGGTATATAGGGTTGACTCAACATGCTTAATGAATGTAAGACATCAACAAAGATAATAAAAAAAGAACTCTACACATCCAGTCAAATATATATGGCATGTAAGATGTAAAGTATATGTACCTCATTCTTACACGATTAAGTTGATTGGTCATTCTTAATAACTAATCAACAAGTCTTAGCATTCTTATATATGATTGTAGTTAATTAAGAGAGTTGAGCGCTAGAATGCGATACACAAGAGTGAGTATGAAATACCAAAATATGAAAGCAAGCCATCGAGAAACAAAAACTGTAAGCCCTTGTTTGGTAGAGATTAAAATTAAATTTTCAGTAAATTATGATAGAAATTGATAAAATATATAGTTGCAAATCTATGAGTTCCGTGAAATAAAGAATTAAAATAAATTATTCACACTTAAATTAAGCTAAATATGAGCATGTAGAGGAGTATCAAGACTTTTCACATATGCCCTCAAAAGAGGACATTGAAGCTCTAACCAAAAATATCACTAAGGGTGCGTTTGATTGGAATTGTGGAAAATGGGTGGAAAGAAAATGTTTTACAGGGAATTGATTTTCTTAGAAAATGTTTTACTAGGAATTGTAATTAATTGTGTTTGACTTGTATAATTTTCCATGGAAAATGTTGAAAATTTGGTGTCCATTTGACTTCGTTTTTTATGGAATTTGTCCATTAAAATGATAATTTTTT